ATATAGGGCAAAATGTAAGCAGCCTCTTCTTTTAATAAGGCCCCCTGTGTAGAAATGAAAAAAATATATATAAACAAAAATAAAACAAAGAGAAAAATTATTTCCATACATGTCCTAATCCCACTTGAGAACTGATGGTTATTGGTTCTTAGATTCAGGGTACCTGCCCATCTCATGCTGACCCCATGGACTCCAGGGGGACTTGCTAAAGAAATGACAGAAGATGAAACAAGTGTCCAAGTTAAAGGTTCAGGGACATCTGAGTGGAGAGGGTATACACGGGAAGGGAAGAGGAGACAGAGAAAGTAGTCAGAATACAGAGGCTGAAGCTAAGAGGCTAACACAGGAAGAGGGATATAGTTGAAAATGCAGCTGGAAAGGGTAAATAGGAACCACTCCTTTGGCTCCATTATTTGAGCAACTTCATTTAACAGTTACTAATTGAGCACTTGCTATGTGCCAAACACTATTCTAGATACTGGAGATAAACTGGCAAGCCAGACATCAAATCCAGTAATTAAATAATTGAATGTGATGGTTTTCCACCTGTTAGACTAGTACTATGGTTTACTGAGGGCTTAATTAAGTATGACAGCTCATTCTTGCACAGGTTCACTTGATCTGCATAGTGGGGCTGTAGTCACTTCTGATGGTACATGAAAACACACATGCTCAAAGAAATTGAGTGAGTTGCCCAAGACCACATGACTAGATGTGTCCAGAGGCCAGCAACTGACATAAGATCTGTCTTGATTGGCACCAGAATCACTGGGTTTGAATAATTGACAGCCACCACTTACTAGCTGTGTGACCTTTGGCAAGTCACCGTGTACCGTGTTTGGTTTTCTTAACTGTAAGGTGAGAATCATAATAGCACCACTCTTGCAGAATTGTTATGACAATTAAATGAGTTAATGTGCACAAAGCACTTACTATAGTCATGGCACATAAGAAGTGATTAGTAGGGCTGGGGTTGTGGCTCAGCGGTAGAGTGCTCACCTAGCATGTGCTAGGCGCTGGGTTCGATCCTCAGCACCACATAAAAATAAATAAATAAGATAAAGGTATTGTGTCTAACTACAACTAAAAAAATATTTTAAAAAAGGAGTGCTTAGTAAACTGCTAGCTGCCATTATTATTATCATTATTATTATTATTATTGGTACTAGGGATTAAACCCAGAGCTGTTGTTATTAAACAGAATTATTAAACCTGTCCCTATATTCAGAAAACTCTTAAGTTTACAGAGCTTTCCCCAAGTTGGGAAGGTCTCTTTGAGTAAGTAAGGATTTGCTTTGTTTTCCCTGCTTAATTCAATAACTTCCCACTTCTGCCTCAACCAACTCTCTCACAAGCACCTGCTAATAGCCTTCATTGTTTACAGTGCTTCTAACAAGTGTGGGTAACTTCTCATTTGCATCCTTAATAGACAATTTCCAAAAGCATATTAAAGCTGCAGTTGGTGTTTGGAGACCTGGGTTTCATTTCCTTTGTTGTCCAGTTTATCTGCATTGGATGGGTCTTAACAGCACACAACACACTCAGGCCCAAATCAACTCTTATTTAACACTTCCACAGACCTTCCATGGCAGAAAAGGTAAGAAAGTCCATTTCAGAGATCCAGAAACCAAAATGTTGAGGGCATGAGGTCCCTGAGCAAGTGATGGGTGACTGTCATTAGGATCATTCACTTGAGTTACTTTAGTGAATGAACATATATAGTGCTAACTTGATGCAGGGTGCTGTTCCAAAGCACTTTAAATATTTATGTAAATCGTAATGTAAGCAATGTTTTTAGAGCTCATAACAACTCTATAGACAGGGACTATTATTCTGGTGTTTTTACAGATGAAGAAACTGAGGCCCAGAGCTAAGAGATGTCAAGTAACTTGTTCAAGGTCATACAATTAATAATGTGTTTCCCAGTTGTGTTTCGTAGACCTTGAGCATGTTGCTTAGCTTTAATTGAATAATAAATGTTAAGTATTTTGCACTGTTCATAGATATCATTATATTGAGGTAGTAGGTATTGAGGCAATTGAAGGTCAGGAGTCTTCAGTCCTGATGGGATTAAAATCTCAGCATTACCAAATCCAAGGTTCCCTATCGTGGGCTCTGGATGGAAGGTGGTGATAGTTTCCCATGTCAAAATCCATTAGTGCTGCGGCTGCCGCTGTTCCTGTTGTTATTTTCCATAGAAGAACACCCTCCCCACAAGGAGTCAGAGAGGAAAATAACAATGATAAGGACCCAGCTGATTCTGTATGCAAGCCTGCAGATCCAAGTCCATGCATAATTTAGTCAACACTGCCCTGCAGTCACTTAGGCTGAGGAGAGACCGCCATAAATTCAGGTCCCGCATAGGCTAATTTATTTCTTATTTATTTTACTGATACATATCTAGGACCTCCAGCGAGCTGCCCCAACACCTGCTTCAAGGCACCTGCAACCCTGAGCGTGACTGGGGCAGGAAAGGAGACCCTGTAATAAATACTAAACTCTGTGTACTAGAACTGTGCAAATTCAATCAGTTTTCTGGTAAAAACCCACCTCCCTTTCCTGTGGTAGATGGACTGCAGAGGTTGCTAAATCTCATATTCTGCTTTCCTACCACAATGACGAGAGCACTGGGAATCCTTCTCACACAAGCATACGATTGTTTTTCTGAGACACAGAATGTCAAAGATAAGCAAATTTTCTAATGGGACGATATAACCAGAAAAGACATGAGAAGAACAGAATGCTGCTATTTTCTTGAGTGGTTACTGAGGACCAAACGCTTTCCTAAGTGATGTCTGGGGCGGAGGTAACTCTACTACACATAGGGAAAACAAGGTAAGTTGGAAGAAATGGGAGCCATAGTTGTGCAGTGATTTCTTTGCACAGACAATTAAACTGTAGCCCAGAGAGAGAAAGCAAGTGGCCTGATTCTACTCAGCAAGTTTAGTTCCAATGTGCTCCCCCTTTTTTTGTTCTCCTGCTACTTTTAATATTCAGTTTAAGGGACTGGGCATGTAGCTCAGTAGTAGCATGTGCCTGGTTTGTCCAAGGCCCTGGGTTTCATCCCCAGGACTTTGAAAATGAGAAACAACAACGTCCTTATTTGAGTTCTTCCTGAGTCCCAAGCTATGACACAAGCTTTGAGTGTATTGTTTCCCAGGCACCAGCTATCTGCGATTACTCATCCTCACCTATGGGGCACTAGGGCCACAGACACTGATGCTGGACTCAACCTGCTGAGTTCCTTCAGAATCTAGGTTCAAACCTGGGTTAAACCTATGGATTTGCTTGCGCACCACACCTGATGGTTCCTGTGTGAACACCTTCGCGATCCTTGCTTTTCTCTCCACTCAGCACTGCCCAGGGCTGCAGGAGGGCATGCAGAAGGGGCAGGAGACCTCACAAGGAAAATATTCTGACCCTGGATGAAACAGGGGTAGGGGCTCTATTATTGCATGTATTAATCCATTATTTATTTTTCCTCTGTCATTCTTCTCTTCAACATTCTTCGCTTGCCTTTGACGTCTTGGGCTGAAGCAGAATAGAAATGAGAGGCCATTTCCCTGAAGGTCAGCCCAGGCTGGAGAGGCAGCAGTTCCTGACCATTTTCCCACCCATACCCCCTCGGCCTTGTGGGTTCCCACACCTGGGCCTTGGGGACAGATAGACTCACCCGCAGAACATGAAGATGGTGCTGGAGGTGGCATCGTAGGGCAAAGGAAGCGTCTGCTGCAGGCACAGCTGCTCACAGCCGCCGTTAAAGCCATCAGAGCAATCAATGCCTTTGGAGTGGTCGTAGCAGCCAGAGCCGTCCTTCATGGGCCTGAGCTCCTCTGGGCACTGCTCAGAAAGAGGGCAACAGGGTGGTTATGGCACAGGAGGCGGCTGGCCCCAATACTCCCTCCTCCCACCTTCTGAGAGCCTCGTGTGTCAGACACCAAAAGAGACAGGTTTGAAGACTCATTTGGCCAATTTATAGCTAGGTGGCTTTGGAAAAAAAAACCTTTACTTCTCTGAACCTCAGCCTTCCTGCCTGTAAAAGAGGATTTTTGTGACTATCTCCTTCATAGAGTGGTGAGAATGGAGGGAGATAGTGTCTGCAAAGTGTTTGGAAAGTTATGGATACTGTTGGGTTGTCTTCAGTCTTGTTCGGATTGCTATCACCTGATAGAGTCTGCTGCTAGCAAGGTCACTCGTGGAAGCCGTCAGATATAATTTAAAGAGACCCTAATAATATGAGCTTAAGTTCCAGCTTTTGTCCTTCTCACTGTGTGACCCTGGGCAAGTTACTACCCTCTATGATTCTCAATGTCCTCATCTACTTAATGGGCCTAACACAACTATAGATTTTTCGTGGGGCTTAAATGGTATCATGAGGGTGCGTAACTTACTTCAGAATTTGCGGCAAGGGTTGGTACTCACAAAATGAACGTGAGTTATCTTTCTGTCTTGAACTGATCTCTTCTCCGCCCTTGTCCCTTGAACTCTAAAGGAATCCTGGGAACAACCAAAAGCCTCCTAACTAGCCTGCAGGTCTCTAGCTTGGCCTCCTGAAATTTTTCTCCAAAGTGATATTTCTAAGTAGCATCCTTAGCTTAAATGGATATATGGATTTTTTTTTTTTAAACTCAGATATTCCTTAAACTCATAATGGGGTTCCTCGACAGAAATGTTCAGATGCTTGCTCAGCCCTGTGCACATTCCTCCTCTGGTCTCTAAGCAAAAACCCCAAGAATTCCCACCTTCAGTGACCTCAGCTGTCACGTTCTCGTCAGTGTGTCTGGCACCTGCTAAGTGCTCTGGGAGTGGATGATCTGATACTGGGGACATCTGGCCCTTTATTTAGTTTTCCATCATTTGCTGAGGTTGAGCTCATATTCTCCCGCGCAGTTGATGGAGAAGCAATAGGAGCACTCCTGCCTTCAGAAGAGTGAGGACCTAGGTTTTAATTTCATTCAACCTTCTGGCATTTCCTGTCCACGGAGATAAACACCCGGAGCCCAGCCCTCCTCATCCATCACTGGACATCACTGATTAAAATGCCCTCCCCCTGTCTCCGGTCCAGCCAGCTCCCTAGCCCCCTCCCCAAGCCGTCCTTCTGAATGACATCAATAAATACACACACACACACACACACACACACAAAATTAATTTTCCAAAACCACCACAACAAAACACGAGGTCAGCCCTCTTGGAAATTAAATTTTGCCTAAGAAGAATTTGTAATTACGAATGCATAAGAGAGTTCTTGGAGACATTTGAGCATTTGAGACTGGCACCAGGAAGGGTGATGGAGAAAGTAGGTTATAAATGGCCTTTGTCAAGCTGCAGAAAGGTTATAAAACTGCTACGTTTTGTGCTTAAAAAGAAAAATCAATTTTCCATGTGAGTGAAGTGCTGTACATATTAATACAAGCTCAGAGGAGTCCCCTGCTTGTCTCTGAACATTCTGTCAGACAGAAGGGCACCTGGTCACGGGGTCATTTGGAGCCATTTGCTGGCACTGGGGGCTGGGATCTGTCTGTCTGCAGAGACTCAGGGATGGGGACTGGACCATCTCACTGGGAAACAAGAGAGACCTGGGGTAGGGTAGTAGTCCCAGTTCTTTCCATCTGCCACTGATTCCCAACCACCTTGGTTTTTCAAATCTGTGCTCACTGCAACCCGAGCATTATCTAAGCACATGACCTGTTTTACTCATTCAGTCCTTATACAAATAAATGAGCCAGTGAAGTAGACAGATAATGACTCCCCAAGATGCTTCCCTGTCTTAAGCCCTGGAACCTGGAAGCTGTGAATACGTCTGTCTGTGGTAAAGGTTTTGAGATGTGATTAAGCTAAAGCTCAGGAGGAGAGTCTCCTGTATTTTACTGGCTGACCTAAATGCTATCATGAATGTCTTTATAAGAGAAGCAGAACAAGATTACCCACATAGAGGGGAAGACAATGTGCACTTGGAGCAGAGATTGGCATGCCCGTGGCCATGAACCATAACTGCTGGAAGAAGCAAGGCTTAGATTCTGCTGTAGGGGCCCTAGGACCTGCCGACACCTTGATGTAGGACTCCTGGCCTCCAGAACCGTGGGAGAATACATTTCTGTTGTCTTAAGCCATCCAGTTTGTGGCGATTTACTACAGTAGCTGGAGGAAATAAATACAGCAGGTCCTGTCATTGTTCTCATTGGACAGATGAGGAAGCTGAAGAGGGACTCACACACAGAGGGTGGCCGGGCAGGGCCTGGAAGGCTTGCCAGTCTGCAGCTCTTTACTGCCTCCTGGGCAAGTCACTTCACCCCCCTGTTGCTTACTAAGCGTATCAGTCTTAGAGAGCAGGGCAAGGCAGGTCTTGGAGCTGATCTGACCTCCATGCTTTAACACTGAGGGTCAGAGAGCAGCAGCACACCACACAGAGTCCCTTAGCACAGGAGTGGAAGACACAGAGGCCGGCTCCCCTTGTCTCAGCTCAGGGCTCTCCATGCTACTCACTTTCCTTTAGGTTAAAGCATTTGACTGATGAAGACAAACTTGCAGAGCCTCCGTCTCTTTCCCCAAGATGATTTACAGTTGAGGAACTGAGGTTCATAAAGGGGAAGGAACTTGATTAATATCACACAGCAGAATAAAGGCAGAGCTAGAATTATACCTAAATTTGATCATGAACATGGGAGAGACTTTCTGAGTAAGTGGAGCAGATGTATCAGTGACCCCCATAGGATCCTCCCTTCGTCTGCTAAGGGCTTCATGCCCATGTCTTAGAGGGCAAGGGGGGCAGATGAGGTCCCCCTTTGCCACTATTTATTATGTGTACATTGTTTCAATTATTCCATTGCTCATCTTCTGTCTTCTCCACCAAAATGTAATATTTGTCATAGTATAGGCTACCTTGGGTTTGTCCTCAGCTGGCACAATAGTAGGTACTTGCTATTTGTTGGATGAAACTGCAGAGTGCCAGACAGGAAGTTCAGGGTGTATATGGATTCATGAAGGGTCCGCAGTAAAAGAAGGGAATCAGGGGAGAGAGGAGGGAGGGGAGGAAAAAGGTAGGTACTGAAGAATGAAATGGACCAAATCGTGTTGTGTGTATGTATGAATATACAACTGCAAATCCCACAAACCTGTATAATTATGTACCTATGAATAATGGGTCTGAATTCAAACTGAATTATTAATTATTCAAACCGAATTCAAACTATTACAAGCTGTGTGACCTTTGGTCCATGACTTAAACTCTCCTATCTTTATATGATTGCTGTGTGGGGGTAAATGTGTCATAGCTAGCTGCAAAGAATGTCCCCAACGATTCCTGGTCACACTCTTGTATAGGCCCCATCCCTCATGGCACTGTACCAGGGTTGGTCTATGTGACCGATAACTGATGGTAGGAGAGATGGTAAGTGGTTTTATAGTGGGAAACTGAGGCCTGCAGGTAACAATCAGAGAAACCGGGCCTGTCAAAGACACAGGTGCAGGCTTGGAGGTGAATTCTCCATCCCATTCAAGCCTGCTGGGATGACTGCAGCCCCAACTTACATCCTGATTGCCACCTTGCCAACAGCTAAGTTACTCTGACTCTCCAGAACTGCATAATGTAATAAATACTTTGTTTGTTTGTTTGTTTTAGGATGCTTGATTTAGGATAATCTGTCACATAGCAATGAATAATAATGTGAGACAAATGTTATCAAGTACCTAACCTAGTGATCAGCAAAGGGTGGCTGCAGTTCTGAGTTTGTAAGGAGCTTAGGATCTAGCTTAAGAGGTAAGAAGTGCACACATTCGGCAGACAAGAACTAGTTTCTAGAGCAAATATTATAAAATATGGTTCAATTTGGCTGGGAAAAGGAAGATTCTGGAAATGTGAGTGAATGGGGAATATCAGAGTGAGGAAATGTTAGTCATGGAAGCCTTCCTGGAAGAGATGTGATGGGAGAAGGGAGATGTCTAGGGTACTGACATCTCCAGAGGCGAGGCCTGAGGTCTCGTTCAGGCACCACCACTCATTTGCCCTGTGACCTTGGACAATCCATGAACCTATTTGGGCTCCAGTTTCCTTTATCTATGTGGGGACACAGCTTGGAGATGACAATGTGGGCAGTGAAGTCAGGACTGAATTCCACTGCAGGCTTCCTGGCTGAGCATCTGGGAAGGCTGGTTCACCTAGAAGAGAGCCCCCCAGGTTCTCATCTCCAAAATGGGAATACAGTGCCTCTCCCAGAGGCATTCTGGAGACTCTGTGAGATAACACTTTTGCACACCACAGGCACTTAATAAATGAAGGATAAATTAACAAATGACAAATAAATGAACCCAACCTTCCCAGAGAAACTTAATGGAAACCACTAGTTGATGATTTTTCTTTCTTATCTTCCCAAGTCCTTTATTGCACCATTTAGCAAATACTTACTGCACACCTACTCAGTGCCGAGCAAATGTTTTAGTTGGTATAAGGGTTGTTGTAAACAAGACAGCCAAGAAACTGCTCTCGTGGAGCTTAAACTCCAGAGAACAAATGATTAATAATAAAACAAGTAAAATGATTATTTCATAGAATAAAACAGTACTATGAAGAAAGAATAAAGTATAAGGTGATAAAAGGTTAATAAGGATGAGGCGAGGGAAGCATAAACATAGTGTAGAAATAGGAAAGGCAGACTTTATTTCCACTTTATTCTTCTTTTTCAAAAGTAGATTTCCTTACGGTACTTCTTTGTCTTTCTGTATAGATTTTAGAAAAATATTTTCTATGTTGGTAAAAATCATGTGAGGTTTTGATAAGAATTGTCTTAAGCTCTTATGTCAATATGAGAAATATGGGTATCTTTATGATGTTTGTCTTCCAA